ATAAGTTCTACAGCTGAGAAAAAATGGACCAATTCCTCAAAAACTACACAAACTACCAAAATGCAATCAAACAAGTACAGCAAGGTCAACAGATGAAAAATCAACACGAAAATTAATCACATTTCTATGTGCTAACAATGAACATGCAAAAATCAAAATTTAAAATATAATACCATTTAGAATCACTCCAAAAAAATGAACTACTTATATATACTGTTAACAAGCCATACATAGGATTTGTGTGCTGAAATTATAAAATGCTGATGAAAAAGCAAAGAAGACCTAAATCAAGGGAGAGGCTGCCACGTTCATAGACTGGAAGACTCAACATAATAAAGATGCCAATTCTTCCCAAATCACTATGTAAGTTTAATGCAATTCCTATCAAAAACCCAGCAATTTTTTTATAGACACAGACAAGCTTATTTTAAAATTTATATGGCAGGACACAGGCCCTAGAACAGCTAAAACAATCTTGGAAAAGTAAAATAAACTGGGATATTAAGGTTTATTATATAGATACACTAATCAAAAGAGGGTGGTATTGATGGAGGGACAGAAATATAGATCAATAGAACAGAACGGATAAAATATGCACAATGGATTTTTGACAAAGGTACAAAACCAATTCACTGGAAGAAGGATAGTTTAACAAATGGTACTGGAACAATTGGACACCAATAGGCAAAATAAAATAAACCTCAACTACACCTTACACCTTATACAAAAATTAACCCAAAATGGATCACAGACTTAAATGTAACACTATATAACTTTTAGAAGAAAATAGGAAGAAATATTTGGGATCCAGGGTTAGGCGAAGAGTTCTTAGACTGGATGTCAAAAGCACGATTCATAAAAGGAAAAACGTATAAGTTAAACTTCATCAAAATTTCAAACTATTGCTCTGTGAAAGACCATGTGAAAAGCAGGAAAAGACAAGCTGCAGGCTGGGAGGTGGTGGATCAGACATAGGTATAACTGCTCTAACAGAGATGCAAATTAACTATTCATTATAGAAGACTCATTCATTCAAAAATATTTTTTGAGCACCTATTTAAGTGCCAGCAGTGTTCTGGTCTCAAAGTGCTTACCTTCTAGCAGGGGACACAGATAAAAAACACAGAGTAAAGAAGGAAACTGTCATACTACATGATTAACTTTGGCTTTTTGCAGGTCAGGTGTCATGTGCAAGGGACAAAAGAAAAGCGACAGTGGGGAAGGTAGGTGGAGAATGCAGCTGAACATGCCTTGGACCTCCTCTGGAGGCTCTTTCTCAGCCTCCTTTGCTGGCTCCTCCCACATTTCCCCAACCCCAGGAAGTTGGACATCCCCAGCATCATCCACTGGTCTTTTCTGTCTCCCTCCATAGGTGACCTCATTCTGCGGGAGCTTTAAATACCATCTATCTGTACATGACTCCCAAATTCACGTCTCCCCCCAGATCTCTGTCCCAACCCCTCTCCCACCGCACTCTGCTCAACATCTCCACCAAGACATCTAATAGGCCTCTCACACCCACGTGTCCCAAACCAACTCCTGGTCCTCCCCCACCTCACCCACACCTTCCCTGATTCAGTCAATGGAGGCTCAATCTTGCAAACCTTACAAAGTATCCTCAGTTCGTCTCATCTATGCAGACCCCCAAATGTAAGGAGAGCTGCGCCCTTCTCTCCACCTCCACTGCTACCTGCACTCTGGCCCAAGGACCCTACCTCTCACAGGGATTACTGCAGCCTGCTGGCTTCCACCCACCCACCAGAGTGATTCTTTAAAGATGTAACAGTGTTCATAACAGCATTATTCACAATAGCCATAGCTGGAAACCACCACAATGTTCCTCAGCTGAGGAATGCATAGACACATGGTATATCCATGCAATGAAATATTATTCAACCACAAAAAGGAACGAGCATTAGTGTGGGTTACACCACTGATGAACTGTGAAAACACTGTGCTAAGTAAATGAAACCAGACACAAAAGG